AATGCCAAATGAGGAGGCAGGCCCTTTGCTATATGGAAGTGGTCTGCCTGCTTGCTCTCCCAGCCTGCGATGGGCCTTTCCCAAGAAGCTTCCGGCAGGCCCCGATAGGCTGAGGCCCAGTCCACCCAACTCAGGCCCTGGGCCTGTAGTGGCTGCTCGCGCCCAACTGTCAACGGACTGTGTTAGGCCCACATCCTGTATCCATCCCTGGGCCTGCCTTCGATACATTCAAACAGGCTGCCCAGGGCGTGGATTCCTCCAACCAACTGGTGCTGCGCAACTGCCTGAATTTCCTTAGTTGCGCGGTGGCCGAAACAAAGGCCCTAGGTCCTCGTCGAGCCTGCCTTCACTTAGGGCGGCCGACGAGCAGCTGAAAAGGGTCTGAAAGGGGCTCATAGAGGTTGTGGCCTCGCACGTATATTTTAATTCATAAAGTTCCCTTTTCAATTTTTTCTTGAAATTCAAAAATATATCATGATTTTTTTTTTTTTGCAATTCTTTTTGTAAGTTATCTCTCGAAATTCTTTTATCATTCGGAAGTAATTTTCTTTTTGGAAATGTTATTCTGAAATCCTCAATTAATTTCGACTAAATTCGATCAATTCACGACTGAATTAATCTCTTTCCTCAAAATTAATTATTCTTTTTTGGACATTCCTGAAAAATCCGCTTTCAAATTTTCTTAAACAGTACACGACCGAGTTAATTTCGAATAAATTCAAATTAATGTATTCAAAATTGATTTTTGTTTTGTGATTTGTTTTTAATTATTATTATTATTATTTTATTACCTTCATTGCCAAATTACTTGATGACATTCTATTCTTGTAAATAGGATTCGCGCCCCTCCCCCCGGGCATGCCACGTCCAACTAGGAACTCCCAACGCACAACCGTTGACGCCGCCGTTGTTGCCGCTGCTAACGTTGCTGCAGCTGCTGCTGCCACCTCCTTCGCTGCTGCCACCGCTTCCTCCCCCACCATGGCCTAGTCATCCAGCATTGATATGTCCGACATCCACACCAACTCCGTCGACAACATCCAATTGCTGCAGCTGCTGCTGCCACCTCCTTCGCTGCTAGTGTTGACTCTACGACCTCGTAGGTGAGAAAACACCAGCAACCAATGCCACTATCGACCTCACGACACTTTTTCGCATGATGACATCCCTCCAGTCATCCATTAACGATGCCAAAACATCCGTTTCCACCATCTCTGCTCGTGTGACCACCATGGAAAGTCACATCCCTGCCAGGCTGGGAATGACAAAATAAACATGCAGTAATAAGACAAAATAAATAAATATAGAACTCGCAATAAAATAATAAATAAACATAAATTGTTCTTCATACCCAAGAGTTATTGATTGCCTTAATTTTGGCCCACCACTGGCCAGGAATGACAGACCTCCCGTCAGTCTGTCATACCCTATTCGGCCCGCCTCAGGCCAAGACCGATCAGACCATTTGTCTTGACGCCTTTGACCTGCCTCCAAGTCAGGACCAGCATACCCACTACTCGAGTATGATGACCCTTTGGCACTCTCGCCAGGACAACCAGACTATAGCGGGTCTGGTCACCCTATGACAGTAGACCTCCCGTCAGCCCAACTGTCTCGTACCCGGATTTGACCACTGCTGTTGGGGACCGGCTCACCCACCAGTTTTGGGCCTAGGGCGTTGGCTGCCCCGCCCAGATTTTTGAACATGGGACCCGGTCTAACCACGGTTTCAGGCTTTGGCGAACCTCACTGGATTGCAACCTCTTACTGCGGTAAGGTTCCAACTGACCCTTCTTGACCTCACAGGCCAGACTCCGGGAGTCTTAGCCTCAGTCAAGTACGAAATTCGACACTCGCGTCGGGGACCCGCTGACCCCACCAGATTGCAACCTACTGCAATAAGGCTCTGGCTAGCCCCGACAATCAATGCATCTTTAGGTTAGTGACGGAAATCCCAGGCACAGACAACCGACATACATCTCGTGCCCACAGTCAAACAGTCCATGCCTCAGATAACAGAACACATTTCTCAAGAGACGTCCCTTCAGTCTTAAGAAGCACTAAACAACAAAAAACAACAACCGACAATGCACTTCTTAGAAACCTCCCTTCAGCCTAAGGAAGTACAAAGTGTTGATCTAGAGAGGTCCCTTCCCTCATCTGAGAATACTCCCAAGAGACCTTCCATCAACCTCGAGGAAGTATAAAAATGTTGAAATGTTGATCCCAGAGAGGTCCCTTCCCCCATCAGAGACAAAAAATAGGCAACTTAGTCAAGAAACACGAAGTTCCCATGCTGACAGCTCTCTGGTCAAGCAAGGCTGAACTTCTTTATGCCCATCTTCTTGATAGTTCTCTTGGACAGGCAGCTTAGTCAGAAGACGCGAAGTCCCTCTACTGACAACTCTCTAGTCAAATAGAGTTGAACCCCTTTTATGCTCGCCAAATTTTCTTTTCATCATGAGATCAAAACTGATTACTCTTTTGATGTTCTACAACCACGAGTTCTCTGAATTTAATATCTCTGCAACTGCACTTTACAGTTGCTTCCCTACTCAGGGATCTGATGCTCGTGGACCGACTGCGGCTCAGCATTCTTGACACCTTGATCTCATTGACTTCGTCGCTTATAGAGAATAATAAAATCAATTCAGATACAGAAACGAATACAGATCATCTGAAAGGTCTCTCTCAACTCCTTTGTGACAAAATCTGACATGCTAAAAATTGACATACTGACTTGACAATGCAAGAATGGTCAAAATTTCGTTGAAGCTCTTGTCTCTATTGTACCTCTTTGTCTCACTATACTCTTCTCAGTTCTCTGATACAACTCTCTTACTGGATGGCTGACTCTTCTTTCCTTTCCTTCGGATCATTGTAGGGACCAGGTCAAGGTCTATGAAGATAAACTTACGAAGTCTCGACCCTGATACCATATCATGAACTCTTGAGCCATCCATCTCTGATATCTCATAGACTTTACCCTTTGCCTCTCCTGTAATTCTGTAAGGACCGAGCCACCTGGGCTCCAACTGTTTAGTCCACTGAGTCTCAAGGAAACTGTCAAATAGGAGGACAACGTCGCCAACTTTCAGTTTCTCTTTCCATATGTATCTCTTCTTATTCCACCTCTCTTGATCTGATAATCTGCTGGTTGCCATTCTTTCTGCAGCAT